CTCATTTTAACATCGTTCGCTGTGTTTCATATGTTTATGTGTATGTTACTTTTTTTCATGCTTTGCCTTTGAAATCCTCTGAGTCAAAGTTGTAGCTTCATCGTCGTCGTCTTGTTATTGTTAATCCCGTTCCCATCTAGATTGAATTTATCTTTTCGACAAAAGTAACCGAAAAAAAATTAGTTAAAAATAAAAGTATTTTAGAACAAATGTTCGGCACAGTCGGTGCTTAAATTCGATTGTGTATGTATATGTTTGGGTGCGACGGTGAGCAATACTATAGTGTAGTTTTTTTCCTTTAATCTTTGTTATTTTTTTTGTCTTTGAATTTCTTAAATTCGGATGATGCCGAAAAAATATTCAGTATCTCTTTGACTTACGGGATATTGAAAATGAACAAACGACATATATATATACGCTCGCACATAAGAAATGAGAATGAATGATAAAAATGGGCACACATGTGCATAAAAGCCAACGCTAACCCGCCAAAAAAATGGTCAAAACTGACAAAAAAAAATCAACAAAATCCTGAATTCAAGAGATTTGAAACTAAAAGAACTACGCTTGCCAAAGAAAAACATGGTTTCGTATTTTATTTACGAAATTGATATTATCATTTTCTCTTCTTTTTTTTTTTCATTTTGTGAACGAAGGCATAACATACGAAAAATGTGATACAATAAAATGAAAAAGAGAAAAAAAAAATGTAAAAATGATCGTTTGCTGAGCACAACATTTTACTTTAAATTCTTATTGTTTCCATTTGGCCATCAAATGACACGAACTGATACACAAATATCGCTTTCCATCTTCTGTTTTCTGTCCGTGTTTATTTTTTAGTGTTTTGAATCATTCGATATACGACAAAATCTATATGAATTGCGAATAATTCATCCGTCTGAAAATATAAGTTTGATGGTCCTGATTCCGGAGCTTATGCTCATCAGGTTCCTCATCGCTTTCAGTTGTCTGTCTATAAAATGCAAGGAGCAAGATAAAATTCCGAAGTGTGTGTTTCGAAGCATTTAAGATTCAATTCGCTATCCAATGGAAACATGTGTATGTGAGCATTATATACAGAATTTTGTACTTAAAATTTTGAACGAACAACTCTATAATATCACGTGTCATGAAAGCATGAAATGTAATCATCGGCTTGAAATATCGGACACTAAATTATGACGTGATGCTCAAAATTAGACCACTAAACATTTTTATCGATCAAATTTCGCAACAACACACAACATTTTTGTGATCATCAATTTCTTTTGAATTTATTTTGGAGTATTTCGCAATCCGGTGCGGCGTGGTTTGTGTCAACCGCATATGTTCGTTGTGGGTTTTCAATTGCAAGATGCCATCGACACATAATTATTATTTTTCATCTTTCACTTAAAAACTAAAAATGAAACAAAAGCAAAACCAACAACAAAAAACCAAACGAAATACCGCACCTTTGCAGTCTTCGATGCATAAACATTTGCGCACATTGCATTGCAGTTCGAACTTCGATGCAATGAGAATAAATGGTAATGGCTATGCGAGCCAAATGAGCTGCCATAACGGCAGAAGTAGAAAATAATTGTGTCTTATTTACAAACATTTACCGGCGAGACGGCCGATACACGCAATCTCACAGATGTATGAAATCGTATAGGCACTTTGTTCACTGAACACACTTCTTTTGCTTGCTGCTACCACAGGCCGATATATCTGGCCTTTCTCTCGCCATCTCTATCTCGCTCTACCTCTCTCTTGCCCGATGTTCAGTTAGATAAATGAATGAGGATGAAAAAGTGGCTAAGTATAGGCAATCTGTTTTCATGGCTTTCATCAAATTCCATACTTTACTTCAAGCAATCAACATAGCCGAAAACTATAAAATGGTGGGAATACTTTCTTTGAATGATTATTTAAATCCCCATAATTTAATTCGGCTGCAAAAACAAATGCAATCGAAACAAATTACACAAATACCGACTGCAATTATGTAAACAATCAGATAGTTTTGTGAAACAATAGATAAACAATTGGTTTTTGTATGAAAATGCAATATTTATGCACATTCGAGACTGGCCATACATTTATTTTCTTCTTTACCCCCCGTTTCGATGATGATCCATTGAAACAAGACATGACATGCGCAAAATGAATTCTATTCCACGAAAATTCTTAAAATTACATGAAAAAAGAGAAAATAACTACATATATATATGCATATGATGTTCTGTATATCATTCATTGGTCGAAAATGTCGAATGCAAACGAACACACGCATCGAAAAGAGTAAATTGTCAAAATTGGCCAACAGTATTGTGGCAGTGTTGCGCAAACAAAAATGTAAATGCATGATTCAATTAATAATTTGCAGTGGAGAAACATCTAACAACACCGTACACATTTTACTTCATCATATTGGCAATGTCGTTTAACAAACACACTTTCTAATTACTTATATCCGTTCGATTCAAAGAACAAAATATATCGCATGAAAAATGAAAACCATTGAACTGACTCCTTCAACATTTTAGGAGCGGTTGTTTGGGCATGCACAATTTTGTGTCTTCCATCGGTATATTTTATAAATGTTCTCTCTTTCTCTTTTGTGCGTACCACAGTTGAAGGCACATCAAATACACATGCGTGTTCGATTATTATTATTATTAACAAAGCCAAATTTTGTGAAAAGAAATACTGGTCACGGGAATATGCCAATGGCATTGGAATTGATCCATATAAATGGCATTTATACGTGCAAATAGAAACCCTTTCCATTGAACTCATTTACTAGCCACACAAACACACACACACACATACGGTTATACATATTCAGGAACATACGGGTTTTCTTTTACCATAAATTGTAATCGACATAACAGTGATATCATGGCACATGCAACGTTCGGGCAAAGAAAGAATGAGCGAAAAAATGGCTAATTGAATTGTTTTCGCTATTGAATTATTGTGGCACGGTTTTATATCGTGTTTGCTAGTTGAATGCCCAAGTTTTTTTCCTTAACCATTTTTTTTCGTTGATTATTATTAGTTCATTTGTATTTTTATTTGCTCATGTATTTTCTACGCCAATAAATCGAAATCGAGTTTTTCATGATCTTCGTCAACGAACCATTAACGCAAAACCTTTTAATTGTTTTTTTTTCCTTCATTGTAACAATTCCGCTTTTTTCTGCTTTATTTCATTTCTTGCATTCTTTTGAACTTTCTGTTTCTCTATGCAAAAAAAAGTGGGAAAAAACACGAAACGAAAGATGGTGATCAAATGGGAATTATCTTGAAATTCTATTTGTAACTGAAACAGGAAATCACCCACGGTTAAATTTTGAGAGTTAAAAATTCGCTCATCTTTCATCCGCTTCAACAATGGGAGAAAAAAAATGAAATGACAAAAAGAAGATGTGCTTTGAATTTCCAGTCGACCAGCAATAACAACAAAGAAGAAGAAGAAAAAAACGAATATGAAATCTATTGTGCAAAGAATTTACATTTTTTTAAATAATTTCATTTAACATCACACCAAAATCGCACAACATTCATTCCATGCAAACGATCGCTTTCCATATAAAATTGGTCGTTTATTATGTCATTCAACAGCGAATAAACCGTGTGCAAATTAATAAATGTTAATGGTTCTTCTGAAATTTTTGTGATTTGCTCATGTTTTAACCGTCACATTGATCAACGATCACACTGAGATCTTAACGCTCGTTGAATTTTTGGCATAAACTATTTTCAAAAGAGAACTAACAATGAAACGAATCAAATGAAGGAATTCCGAAAATCAACACAGATGATGGATTATTTAGTTGATGGAAGTTGGTAAATGGACACAGGAAAAAAAAATGAATTAATACATTTAGTATGTTCATGTAGATAACATCAATATTTTTTTTTGGGACGGATGGGTATCTTTGTTGGTATCCACATTGATGGCTTTATATTGTTCTCTGCATACTGTGTGCATTCTTCAAATTGGGATATTTCATTTTCATTCTCTCTCTATCTCTCTCTGTCTATCTCCAACTCTGCATGAAGTAGGAGAACTTTGTAGATTAAGCGGAAAATAAAATTACAATTGCTAATTTATTTATAATACAGTGCACAATGAACACATTCTGGCATGGTAAATAGATATGGCCAAAGAGTCCGCTGGATATCTTCTAGTTTTTTTTTTAATTTGAAACAGTTTACTATTGAATATGCGTATACATTAATAAACGCTTTAATACGGATTAGGTTCTCGTGCGCATTCAAAAATTTCAGAGAGTGGCTTTCTTTTGTGTTCACGCTTTAAAAGTCACTTGAAGACTCGTGGAAAATAAAAAGAATGAATTCACCGACATTTTGCATTACTACTTCTCGCTCTGTGTTTTTGTTTTCTTCAAACAATTTTCATCGTCTGCGGACAATCTGAGTGGTATTGAAGTGCATGCTTTCGCATACAACTCGGCATGTTTTTTTTTTGTAATTTTTCTTCTTTTTCCAAACGCACTTGCACATGCACGAGCAAACATCACCGGATCGACCGTCATAAAGTAACGTATCGCATTTTAAAAGTAATAATAAATGGAAGTGGAATATATATTCCTCAATGGGCAAACTTGCATTCCACTTGAGATTATCGCCACAATTCATTGCGCTTACGACTTAATTAGATTTTGAAACATGAGTGTCTCTCTGGCAGCTACTACACACCGATATAATTGTGCGAATGCATAATTGATTTCATTGGTGTGTTTGTATAACGTTTTTTTCTCTTTTTTTTCTTCTTTAAAATGTTCGATGAGCACTTATTTGTTGTTGTGTTATTTTTGTGTTGTATTCGCTTCTTTTTGCCATCCTAATCGAAACTGAATTACACTTGCAAATATCGACAAGTGCTTTGAAGAATGCACAAACGATTATATAATCACGATAATGATTAACAATGATTAATTTTGTGTTTTTTTTTTCTGTTTCGTTTAATTGTTTAATTGCAGTATGATGATGGCCTGCACGGCTACATGAATTCAGGAGCAGCAGCAGCAGCAATGTATGACCCACACGCTGGCCATAGGCCACCAGCTCTACAAGGATTACCATCACACCACTCACCTCATATGAGCCATGCATCAGCCGCATCGGTTGGAATGCACGGATATCACACTGGACACGGTGGTACGCCTAGTCATGTGTCACCAGTTGCAAATCCAATGGGTGGCACAATAGCTGATAAACGTGATAAAGATGCAATCTATGGGTAAGTTAATAATTCACATTATAAAAAATGTTTTTAATGAGCAAACTTGTATTCATAAAAATATGATTTTGTTCAACATTTTATAATGCCAAAAATGTTGATTGCCCCAACACACAACGTATTAATCATACCAAAACAATATAACAATCAATTCCAATGTCCATGAAGAAGTTGGAAATTGTTTTTTATAAGCGATCCATAAAAATATTTTTCCACACCCGGTTAGATGGTAAATAAAGCTGTCTATAAAAATTTACAATGTTAAAAAAAACGCAATAAAATATTTTGCGAAAGTAAATGGAATGGAGAAGCGATGCAAGAGAGTGTAGAACCTTAAAAATTGAACATTTTCTTTAAATGAAAATGTTCCGTAAATGACGATTTCTAGACATTTTGTCTGAATGTGAAACTGACGCACATCACTTAAAGGAGTATTCAACGCACACTTCCAACTTCTACCAATGGAATGAGAACCAAAACAACAATGTAACAACTGTATGAGAACCAAACGAATTTTAAGCATTGCCGAGGAGGAGAACGGTCATCAACAAACAAGAATAACGATGAAATTTTGTAATAAATCAAATACAAGAGCGCCTAAAACATCAAAAGGAATAATGCTGCTTACGATTAAGAAAATACGATGTAATAATCGCATATTGTAAACGTGATAAACGTTTTCGCATTCTCAACGTTCCTTTTTTTCTTCTCTCTTCAACAACCGATTCGGTAGATCAAAATCGATGCAACGGCCAAATCGTAGCTGAGAATTGTGAGTGAGAGAGAAACAGAAAGAGAACGAAGAATGAAGATTTATTTCCTGCTTAAAAATGCACATGTTTAATTTACAACCGAATACACAATAATTATAGGCTTAGACATTTTGCGATTGAATGGTCTATCCAAAGCAGTGTAAAATGCCACAGAATAGTAAAAAAAAAATATTATGCCTCAAACCGCAAAGAAATCAAATCAAAAGTAGAAGCCGCTGTGTGTAGTTGCATCCAATACGAATTAGGTGAAAACAACCTAAAATTGTTTTCAATCAAATTCAATTCATTAACAAATCGAAAAAAAAAAAATGAACAAACGATGCAACAAAACATTGTTGACGGTCAAGCAAATCGTTTCGGAACCCACAACAAAATAGAAAATAACCCCCCAAAAAGTTGAAGAGCGGTAAAAAAGTACAAAATACATAATAATAGTGCAAGTTGTGAGAATTTCATTAACTCCTAATGCTCTTAATGTATTTATTCCCATTGTTTCCCTTTTTTCCCGAAACGATGTAATGTTTGAGAGTCCAGTTGTACATTTTATAATTATTCGATCCTATAACTTGTGCACCTTTTTCGCCCATTAATTTATTTTATATATGTATTGTATGACTGAAATTGGGCATTGAACCGTTTTGAATAAATCGAAAATTGTCGAAATGTCTCATTTTTTTCGCCCAAACAAAATAACAACTGTAACCACATTTTGTTCGAATCGAGCATTGCGTACATTGTCAAATAACTCAATGAAGGTGATTGATTTAGGTGTCGTGCTTTTTTCGGTTTGTTGCTCTTTTGATATTCAATTGACATCGCCTATTTTCAGCCACACCACAAAGGCAGATCTTGACAGCACATTGAACTGACGAAAAAAAATTTTTTTTTTTTAGAGAAAATTACATATGTAAGTCAGTTTATAACAATAACCATGGTACACACATCGCACTGAAGTCTGTCACAAAACGCTCTCAAAAATCGAGGGCAGTCCCAAATTGAACAGATGAAAGCAAAAATTGTAAAATTAATATGTAATAATCATAAATGTGCCGGAAAAAAAACCGAAAAACATTTATAATAATGATAGTGCGATGACGACGTGAATTGGGCAGTGAGCATATGCAGCGATTCTGATCGTTTGCTCTGCACACACTCACAAAAATACATTCTTATGGTTTTTGATGTTTGTCTGTTGATGACGATACTTAACCTATTAGCTAATTGCATACGTGAGTATAATATTTTTTTTTTCAGCTTGCTTTATCTTGCATTCGATGTTTATCATTTTGTTTTCCATTTTTTTTTATCTTTCTATCTCTTTCCATCACTCTCTTCGCCAGTCAAACCTTCCACTCACGTTCCAGTGCCTAATAAATTCAAATATAATTAAATTGACCAAGGTGATCGATTTGGCTAAATAATTGGGTAAACTTTGTTGTCAGCATTTTTGCTTTCTTTCTTTTTGTTTTGTGATGAATCGAACAAAAACCCAAAACAACGCCGTAAAAATGTTTGCCAATCGAAATCAACCGGATAAATGCATTCGTCGTGATCTCGTATTAATGCTAGAATTTCATTTTCATATTTAAAACGATGAAAAAAAAAGAAGTGAAAAAGAAACGAGAAGAAAACGAAGAATAAGATATAATTGATCCTTGCTTAAGATAGAATCACAAACAAATGGTAAGACAACGACTATTTGAAATGTTCGCTTCCTTTTTGGTGGCTTTGCTGTATTGAGGTGCGAGTGTTTCTTTTCGAATATTTTGTGTGTGCGCGTGTGTGTGTGCGCACTGTTGCTCGAAAGATCGAGCGCACATTTTTCACATGTTTACTCCGTTAGTATTCTTTCCATTTTTATTTTGTTGCTCTTTTGTTGCCATTGGTGCAGCACGGCAATAGCATTGGCATTGCATGGCACAGCAATAGGCTTTGCTCTGAAAACATCTGTCGAATGTGTGTTACATTGTGCGTTCCCCGCTGAATGAGTTATATAGTTAAAATAAATGCTCTTGTTGCTGCCCGTTGCGTTTTTACCAGTTTCTGCGTTTCGTGTGCTAAATTTCAATTGTTTAAATCGTACTCACACAAAGTACTAAATGCAAACAAAAGGAAAATGAAACAGAAATGTAACACAGAAGAAGACTTTCTCAGGATTATATACGGAAATAAAATGGTTGAAATGGAGCGATTTATATTGAATTATAACAATTGTAACGGAAACGAAAGGAAAAGACAGAGAAAAAAAGACGGCGACGACAACAAGAGAATGCTTTCGCTACTCTTTCTCTCGCTATACTCTTGTAGTTGAATTCACATTTGGCATTCGTAGTCATACAGTCGCATATCGTTGTCGTATCATTAAACCCGAAAATAAAATAAATCGTTGTAAACATGTTGTATTTCATTGTTGATTCGTGCGCAACACAGTTTCGTACATACAAAATGAGGTGGTACACCAAAATCAAATTTGCCGGGAATGAAATAAAAATGTTGCACAAATGGATTCATTGTATGGTATGGCGCACAAGGGAATCAACTCAAATTCATATCATATCTTCCAAAATAATCTCTGATAAATTCAAATGTTTTGCAAATGAACCGAGAAAAAAACACACACACACACACCAACAACCAGTGACCCCTTGCAGCATTCTATTGAGGTTGGCGTGCGTTTGATTCACTTGCGACAACAGTTCGAAAGTCTTTATCGGGTCAAGAAATGACAATACCGCTTAAAGCGATGTGGAATAAATTTATGATAGGAAATGACAATTTCATTTCAACAAAATGCAAAAACCATGATTCAAACAGAAGCAAATAGATGATTTATCACCCTTTTGCAGATATTAACGATACTACAGACATTATTCATTCAATAATAAAATTACCATGCTGATCTGAATAGAAGCATTTCACACCGGACACACACATACAAAATCAGACAAAAACGGCCGGATTAGAAATATACAGCAATCAATGCACAACACGCGACAAATGTGACAATTATCGCATATACATTTGAATTGTGAGCACACTTGCAATGCAAAAAAAAAACAAACAAACAAACAAACACACTTTCGAATTAAGAACTGAAAAGCATCACACCAAACCAAAGCAAATTCGCTGAAACATTCACCAGACGAATGACATTAAACACCGGTAAAAAGCCAAACTCTGACAAAACAAAAATATGCTAAACGAATTGAAAAAAAAGGACAAGAGATAAATTCCTGGTTAGATTTGAATTGTAAATGGAATAATTAAAAATTTATTACTGCGCAGCGAGACATAACAGACAAATTTGAGCGCTGAGCGCATAAATTTAAATGTTGAATTAGGTGGCATTTTAACTTTAATCTGACTTGTTTGAATGAAAGAAACCCGCAAAGACCACAGGTTCATATCATGACAGCGGTATCTGTATCCACATCCACACAGTCCACTCCATACATATATTCAAACATATATGCAAACTTGTACAGGTCATACATCGAAACCTGAAAGGCGTATAATTTCAAATGGAAAAAAATGAAAACAAAACACAAAAAGACAAGCAACAGCAGCAACAAAGAAAAAAAAACGGGATAAGGAGATAATGCTTTTTTTTTTATTTAGTTAATTTTTATTTTTTCGTTTTTTTTTTGTTGTTGTAAAAGCACGCGAACCATCTACAGACACCCTATCTGCACACACATGTGCGATGATGCGCGAAACTTAATTCGGTGCTTTTTAAGCCAACAGATTAATTTGCTTAGAGACGTTTCGAAACACACAATTTACTCATCCATTGAATTTATTTGGAATTGCTTTATGTTCACAAATGAACGAATGAGAAAAACAAAAAACACTACGCGATTGCATTTGTTTGTTTAATTCTTCTGTTTTAATCGTTCGTTAATTAGCAAGCGAAAGAAAAACCGTCAGTGGAATTAGATATGTTTTAAGTGGTCGACGGTTGGGATGTGATTCTGATATCACCGATTCGAATTGACGTGCGTATTTAAATCACAATGAGAGAGGTGAATAAGCAAAAAAACTAAAATTTCTTTTAAGAAACAAAAACAGCTGGCTTAATGTGTTCACACGACCACACCAAAACAGCTTACATTCTCATCCAAAACATCAAATGTAAATTGCACACGATCGTTTCTGGTGTTTTCTATTATTTTTTTTTACATTCATTTCCTTGTGTTGCTGTTGCTATTTTCTTTAGTGTTCGTTCAT